GTCGATGCCCACCTCGACCCTGACGCCCCAGGTCTCTCTGAGGACGAAAGATTCTTGAGGAAGGGCAACGAGCTAGCGGATGCTGGTGCCAAGCGTGCTGTCGCACGCCACCCTGCCTTTGACCCCGTTCTGTCTAGGGAGCTCGACTGGAAAATTAGGGTTTCTAAGACGGTGATGTCCCTTGGTGCTGCCCTCCTCCCCCTCTGGCCTCGTGTGGAGTTCCTCGGGGTGGAGCGTGTTCCTCGTTCCCCTGCCCCTGCCGTGCATCGGCTGCAGCACCAATGGGAACTCATCAGCTCAGTTTGGAGGTGCAGAGTCTGCCTCCTAGGGTCCCTCGCTAAGCGCCCGCCTGATCCAGGGGGGTGCAGGGGCCACTCCAGACTCGACTCTGCTGTGCTGGATAGGCTGGGGCATAAAGTCATCGCCCTTGCCTGTTCCGACAATTCATTCTTGTTCACCTGCCTGCGCTGCAGGTCTTGCAGTTCTGGGGCCCAGGTCAAGAAACTGGGCCAGGTGTGCCAGCCGCCGACAGTCACAGGTCACAAGAACTGGAGAAAGATCCAGAAGGGCAGCCATCCTGACAAACCACATGTTGTGGTGGAGACTGGCTGCTCGTTACCTGTGTCGGCGTCGCTCGGTCGTCTCACCTCATCCCCGCTCCCTCGTGAGCCCCCCCGCCCTACCCCTCCCGCCCTCGTCCCTCCCTTAGGGGCGAGGTCAGGCCAGGCCCATGCCGCTGGAGGCCGGCCCGCGCTGCGAGCCCCGGCAGGCGGGGCCCTCGCTGCCGCGGAGGGGTGGGAGGAGGAGGAGGAGGAGGCTGCGCGTGTTCTTTTTTCGGGGCCTTCCAGGACTCGGTTCTCGAGCGATTCGGACTGAGCCCCGTTTTTTCCTGCCAGGGGTGTCTCGCTCTGTCTGGTTTAAACTTTTCTGAGACATAGCCGTTGACGGCAAAAAAAAGAGGAGGAGGAGGAGGAGGAGGAGGAAGAGGAAGAGGAAGACGAAGAAGAAGAAGAAGAAAAAAAAGAAGAAGAAACAGAAGAAGCAGAAGAAGCAGAATAAGCAGAAGCAGAAGCAGAAGCAGAAGCAGAAGCAGAAGCAGAAGCAGAAGCAGAAGAAGAAGAAGCAGAAGCAGAAGCAGAAGCATAAGCAGAAGCAGAAGCAGAAGCAGAAACAGAAGCAGAAGCAGAAGCAGAAGCAGAAGCAGAAGCAGAAGCAGAAGCAGAAGCAGAAGCAGAAACAGAAGCAGAAGAAGAAGACGAAGACGAAGACGAAGAATAATACTCATAATAATAATAATAAGAAGAAGAAGAAAAAGAAGAAGAAGAAGAAGAAGAATAAGAAGCAGAAGAAGAAGAATAATAATAAGAAGAAGAAGAATAAGAAGACAAATAAGAAGAATAATAATAATAATAAGAAGAAGAATAAGAAGAAGAAGAAGAATAATAAGAATAATAATAATAAGAAGAATAAGAAGAATAAGAATAATAATAATAATAATAATAAGAAGAATAATAAGAATAAGAATAAGAAGAATAATAAGAAGAAGAAGAAGAGGAGGAGGAGGAGGAGGAGGGGGAGGAGAAGGAGGAACGCGGGGCGACGTCTCTTCAAAACGAGGACCCAACACTTGGGAAATCTTCTCAAACCGTCGGAACATCGTCCCCGGATTATTTTTCTGTGCCCGACTTAAGTATAAGGGGGGGGGGAGGAGGCTCATTAGGAGGAGGCTGCTTGTTGGAAGGTGCGGGCCTTATCTGTAGAGTTAAGGCCAGCGGCTTCTAAGAAGCAGTCCCCTTCTAAGAAGCCTTCCCCCCCAGCCCTATTGTGCGCGCCGCCAGTCTGCGCCTGTCCTCGTCGCTGCTCGTGTCCCCTGGGCTTAGTAGTTCTTGTAATCGGCTGGGCCGCAATTTACCGGTTCGGTTTTGCAATTCGTTTCCCTGTGTTCCAGCGCCGTTTTGTCCAGTTCGCCGCAGTTTTATCATTCGGGTTCCAGGTTCGGCTTCAATCCCGGAACCGTTGTTTTTCCAGCTTCGGTCCAGTTTCGGCAATTTTTTCCCCGCTTCCAATCTCTCAACATCAAGACTTCTGGCAACAGTCAGGAGGGAAAGAAACACACAGACACAGTTAATCTTCGATTCCACAGAAAATATGGGAAAATATGGGAAGTGGGGGGGACCGCAGAAACCCAGAAAATATGGGAAAATATGGGAATATCTTTACTTGTGTGTATTTATTTGTGTGTCCTGGGGCCCCTTCAAACAGAGCGGTAACAAAGTGGGCCTGCCGTTGCCACGCCTGCGCGCCTCCGCCCGCCCCCCCCCCCGGCGCCGCAAGAGGGCCTCGACGGGGGCCTGCAGCACCGCGCGGCTCCCTGCGCGACTCCGGCGGGCGGCGGGGCGTCGTCGCCGCCGCCACGGCCGCCGTAGTCGAGGCGGTCGGGGTCGTTGTCGTCGTCGTCGCCGCCGCCGCCGCCTCCGCCGTCGTCGTCGTCGTCGTCGTCGTCGTCGTGGTCGTCGTCGTCGTCGTACTTGTCGTCATGGTCTTCGTCGTCGTGGTGGTCGTCGTGGTGGCGGTCGTCGTGGTCGTCGTCGTCTTCGTCGTCGTGGTCGTCGTCGTCGTGATCGTGGTCGTCGTGATCGTGGTCGTCGTCGTCGTCGTCGTCATCGTCGTCGTCGTCGTGGTTTTTGTCGCTATCCTCGCCGCCGCTGCTGTCGCCGCCGCCGCCGCCGTCACGGTGGTGGTGGACGTCGTCGTTTGAGGACTGTAGGTGAAGGTGATGAACGTTTTTGGAGACCTCCAGAGGCGTCGTTGTGTTCGTCAGGGTCGTCGTGGTCTTTCGTCGTCGTTCGTCGTCGTTCGTCGTCGCCGTCGTTGCCGTCGTCGTTGTCGTCGTCGTCGTCGTCGTCGTCATCGTCTTTGTCTTTGTCTTTGTCTTTGTCTTCGTCTTTGTCTTTGTCGTCTTTGTCGTCTTTGTCGTCGTTGTCGTCGTCGTCGCCTTCCGAAATTGAGGAGAAGGACTTTAACGTTTTCTACTTTTTGTTTGGCCTCGGGAAGCCGCAGGGCCTCCCCAGGCGTCGTCGTCGTCGTCCTTGTCGTCTTTCGTCGTCTTTCGTCGTTATCGTGGTCGTGGTCGTGGCCGTCATTGTCGTCATTGCCGTCGCCGTCGCCATGGTCGGCTTGGTCGTCGTCGTCGTCGTCGTCGTCGTGTTCGTCGTGGCCGTCGTCGTCGTCGTCGTCGTCGTCATCATCGTCGTCGTGGTGCTCGTCGTTGTGATTTTCGTCGACGTCGTCCATGATGTGGAGGGAGGAGGGGGGTGGGGGAGGAGGGAAGAGGGTTGGGAAGAGGGAGGGGGGACGATGAGGGTGGAGTTAAGATGTGAGGGGGGAGGGGAAGAAGAGGGGTGGGAGAGAGCCGGGAGAGTGGGGGCGGGCAATCCAGACGCGCTCGCGTCACATCTGACATCCTACTTCTCCCACCTTTCCCATCTCATTGCGTTGAATCCTTCTCTGTCTGCCGAGGGGTATTCAAGATGATCTTGATGCCTAGACTTCAGTTTCAGGATTTGAATCATCGATTGCCGCGCATTCGGAAAGGTTCTTGTTGGTACATGCGAAGGAGGAGCAGGAGGAGGAGGAGGAGGAGGAGGAGGAGGAGGAGCAGGATGCGGGCGAGCAGAAGGCGGAGTAGGATGAGGAGGCGGATATCCGAGTCTTCGTCCTCACCATATAGCTAACCGTTTATGTTTGCAAGCTTGAGCGTCGTGTTTCACGTGGAAGCATACGTTCCGCAACTTGTAAAAGCTTGAAGGAACGAATTGGATTCAGAAAGGTGGCCCGCGCTCGGGCGAAACTCCCATTCTGAACGACGGGATCAACGTACCGGTCCTGAAATGTGGCCGTCATTGCAGGTGGAGCGCCATGTCTTTGGAGGGCCGAAAACATCCCGACCGAGCAGACACGTATTCCACATCACACCTCGCGACCCCCATCGCCGAGCGCTTTGTTTCCAAGTTCTCCGTCCCGGGCCTTCGCCGCTCCGTCCTCTGTCACTATCGGTGCTCTCCTCGGGAGGGTCCGTGGCTCCGCTCCAGGAGCAGACGGCATCCCCTACGGGGCCTTGCTCTTCGCCAGTCCGCGCGCCTCGACTCTCCTCCATGAAGTTGTGCGGAGGATGCGGAGGGAGGAGGAGGAGGAGGAGGAGGAGGAGGAGGAGGATGAGGAAAAGGAGGAGGAGGAGGAGGAGGAAGACGAAGACGAATCAGAATAATGATATTGCGGTCTGGCTCCGCGCCGGCCTCGGCACGCGCGCGGGCTGCAACGATGGGCTCACCGCCTGCACCCCTTAAGGGCACTCTGGGCAAGAGGACGACGGCCAGGGGAGGTCCCGCGCTCCGTCTCGGGGGCGGCCAAGAGGGGGGTGATGACTCGGGGGGGGGGGAATATCATGGCGCGGGCCATGATATTTCCATAGATTTCCTGGCGCCTCTTCTCATTTCGTTACGTCCCTGGCCCCCCCGCTGGGCCGCGCACGTGCCGCCGGCCATGATTTGCACCCCCCCCTCTAGGACGCCCCCCTCTTTTGCCGCCCCCGACTGTCTACTCGCCCGCTCGGCTGGCGGAACGCCGACGTGATCATTGTCTCCAGGGCCATCCGCTCTGCCCTCAAGCCTGCCATCGCCATCGGCGCGGCGCGCGTGCAGAGCGGCTTCGTCCCTGGCAGGGCCCTCAACAGCATCGTCGTCGACCTGGACACCCAGGCCCGCATCGACTCTATGCGCCCTGACCTCGAGTCCCCATTGCTTCTGTTCACGGATTTCGGCGCCGCGTTCCCCTCTCTCTCTCTCTCTCCCACGAGTGGCTCCTCATCACAGCTGTACAGTCTTCCCTCCCGCTGGGCCTCGTCAGCGTCGTTCGGAGCATCCACAGGATCGTCATCGCGATTGGTCGTGTCGGCGGCCGCATGCGGACGCTGTTTCCCATCCTCAGCCGGGGTCGTCCAGGGCTACCCCTTGGCGAGTCTCCGCTTCACCCTTGCCTTCGACCTGCTCCTGCGCTGCTTCGTCTACGCCGTGGACAACGGGCACCTTGACATTACCCCTGCGTGCGCTGCTCATGTTGGCTTCGCCCTGAACTCTCTCGAGGTGCTCCCTCCGACTGCTGCCATCTTCAAGTTCGCTCGCATGCTCGCTAGCCTCACCCTCAAGCTCCACAAGTGTCCTCTGGTGCCGCTTCTTCCCTGGACGTCCCCGCTCGTGGAAATCTTCCGGGGTGGCTGCCTTGCCGTCTCCTGGCATGGATCGACCTCGACACCACCTCCGCGCCCCAGTACGTCGGAGCCCTGCTGGGCCCTTTTGCCGGCGCTCTTCCCTGGGAAGGCCCCTCCAAGAAGTGCTTCGACCGCGCCTCGAGGATCTTGGAGCCCTCTGCCCCTCCGTCGGCCGCTGCAGTGCTCCACAGCACGGACGCCCTCCCGACCCCCTCCCTGCGTGGCCCGGGCTCCTCCTCCTCCTCCTCCTCCTCCTCCTCCTCCCTCCTCCTCCTCCTCCTCCTCCTCCTCCTCCTCCTCCTCCTCCCCCTCGTCCTCCTCCTCCTCCTCCTCCCCCTCGTCCTCCTCCTCCTGTTCCTCCTCCTCCTCCTCCTCCTCCTCCCCCGAGACCCAGATTCTCCGCAGAGAGCCCTGACGCTCTGCTCGGTCACTCCTCCACGTCCGCGCCCCTGCGAGCGCACTCTCGCGTTCCGACGTGCTCTCTCTCTCTCTCTCTCTTCTGGGGCTCTGCCCGGTTCCGCCCTGTGCCGGCCGACCTGATCTCCGCGCTGGCCCGGGCCGCCCTGGAGACCACGGCTCGGGGATCCTGCTTCGGAGGGCTCCGCGGTCAGTCCGAGGAGCGCTCGCGGCGTCCTGCCTCCCCCGCACTGGGACTTCCCGCCGTGTGCGGCCAGCCTCCATCGCGCTGCCCATGGTTTTCGTGATCATCCGCGCTTGGCGCAGGTTCTTCCTGCAGCACTCGCCGAGGCAACTGCCGCGAAGGACGCGTGGCCCGAATGCCAGCGTTTCAAGCTCCAGCGCTTCATCTCTATCCGCCTCATCTCGGCCCTCTTTACCGATACCGTTCCCGACCTGCTCATGAGGAGATCCTCCACTGGCCTGCCTTTGATCTCAACGTCGTCGACTTCGACACACTCCGCACGTTCCTGCAGACTTTGTTCCCCGTTTGGGCGACCAGCATTTTGAAGATATGGGCGAACGCATGGACCACATCACATCTTCGCGGCTTCATCTTGGATGTTGCCCCACTTGCCTCGTCGGTTGTGTTATGCTCCTTACGACCTCCGGCAGTGCGTTTGCTATCGACTGATGTGGTCCTGCTTGGTTGCCTTGTGCTCGCCCCATCCTGAGCGAAAACTCTAACCTGACAGTGAACTACCCCCTCTTCCTGCTCGAGTTCTCCCTGCTGCTCCGACCCACATCGCCACCCTGCGCCTCGTGACCGCCTTCCTCCCGTATCATGCCATTCGTAATCGTTTCCGGCATGCCCGTCATGACAGCGTTGCTCTTCTCCGTGATGTTTGCGCTTGTCGTGCTGTGCCGCGTCCCCGGCTACATTGCGCTGTCTGCGTGCACCAGACGTCCGCGAGTGATCCCTGACCCGTTAGGGACAACTTCACGGCCACACACTGAGGTCGTGTGTCTGCGAGATGACAATGCGCAGTGCGCGAGAGAGGCGGGAACACCACTACACACAATCTGGGGGAGAGAGGACAGTATTGCTCATGTTGGATCACTGCGAGGGGGAGGGAGGGAGAGGAGCATAAGAGGAGGGAAGGATGTGGGAAACGAGGAGGCAGGGGGCCGGGAGCGAGGGAGGGAGACGGGGGGGGGGAGGATCAGGGGGGGGGAGTTAGAGAGAGGAATCGAGAGAGCGGGACAGGAGGGCGGGAGGGACGGAGAGTGAGAGCGGTGGCGAGGCGGAAGCAGGGGAGGGGTGCCAGGCAAGCTACGTGCGCTCGTCATATCTGACGTCCTACCCCGCCCTCCCATCCCTTACCATGGCGTATATCTCCTCTCTATTCGCACAATCTGTTGTCGTAGCATGGCATGCCATTACATGGCATATCATGGTGTCGAAGATAAACGCGTAGCATGACAGCGCATGGCGTGGCGACGCCCCACAGGGGGGTGGGCTTCTGCGGCCGAGAAAATCAACGAATCGACACCGAATGTATACTTACTTCCGATGGTTTCTTCGGGAGGTCATTTTCTAGATTTTGGTGCCTATTTCGAAGGACCGAAAGCCGTGCCGTGGCATGGCGCTGGAAATAATGACGCCAGCGCTACAGCGGGAGCACGATTCGGAGCGACCCAGCGCTGCAGCGGGAGCACGACTCGGAACGAGCGGTAGCCCGAAAATGAAGCCAGCGCTTCAGCGACAGCTACATTTTGAAAAAAACAAAGCGCTGAAACACGGAAACGAGGACGCGTAGCCTGACATAGCACGACGTGGCGACGCCCGAAAGTGGGGGCTTCGGCAGACCAGAGAATCAACGAATCGACACCGAATATATACTCACTTCCGATGGTTTCTTCGGGAGGCCATTTTCTAGATTTTGGTGCCTACTTCAAAGGATCGAAAGCCATGCCGGGGCATGGCGCTGGAAATAATGACGCAAGCGCTGCAGCGGGAGCACGATTCGGAACGAGCGGAAGCGCGGAAATGAGGCCAGCACTGCAGCGGGAGCATGATTCGGAACGAGCGGTAGCCCGAATTGAAGCCAGCACTTCGGCGAGAGCATAATTTTGAAAATTACCCTGGCGACGTACCCAACCCTTGCGCAAAACGGGGCATAAGTACATCAGGATTGCTACACCGGGGGCGATGACGTAACATGGACGCTGTGATTTTGCGAGCAGCAATCGAAAGGCTCGCAGGCCCCCGATCAAGATAAAAGGGCTACGTCATAACAAATCACCCCCGTTGGCTGAGCCATGCGCCCGCTGCACCCAACGTATCCCACAGCAGCTTTTGAGAGCCCCCGCGGGATACGTGTAGGCGCAACGTTATGGCCATCGCCCGGCAGATGGTCTGTTTCACAAATCACCCCGGTTGGCTGTGCCATGCGCCCGTTGCGCCTAACGTATCCAGCAGCAGCTCTCCAGAGCCCCTCAGGGACGGCGAGGTCTCGCTCAGGTCCCCGCGGCGCCTCACTCCGCAGGACCCACCAGCAGCCTTCGAAAGTGGCCCACAATGTCGCAGATTGCAGCCCCCCCAGGGACGGCGAGGTCTCGCTCAGGTCCCCGCGGTGCCTCACTCCACAGGACCCACCAGCAGCCCTCGAAAGTGGCGACAGCGTCGCACATCGCAGCCCCCCCAGGGACGGCGAGGTCTCGCTAAAGTCCCCGCGGTGCCTCACTTCGCAGGACCCACCAGCAGCCCTCGAAAGTGGCGACAGCGTCGCACATCGCACCCCCCCAGGGACGGCGAGGTGTCGGTCAGGTCCCCGCGGTGCCTCAACCTCAGTCCGCAGGACCCACCATCAGCCCTCGAAAGTGGCGACAATGTCGCAGATCGCAGCCCCCCAGGGACGGCGACGTCTCGCTCAGGTCCCCGCGGTGCTTCACTCCGCTGGAGCCACCAGCAGCCCTCGAAAGTGGCGACAGCGTCGCAGATCGCAGCCTCCCCCAGGGACGGCGAGGTCTCGCTCAGGTCCCCGCGGTGCCTCAGTCTGGAGGACCCACCAGCAGCCTTCGAAAGTGGCGACAATGTCGCAGATCGCAGCCCGCCCCAGGGACGGCGAGGTCTCGCCCAGGTCCCCGCGGTGCCTCACCCCGCTGGACCCAGCAGCTGCCCTCCAAAGTGGCGACAGTGTCGCAGGTCGCATACCCCCCCAGGGACGGCGACGTCTCGCTCAGGTCCCCGCGGTGCCTCAGTCCGCAGGACCCACCAGCAGCCCTCGAACGTGGCGACAGCGTCGCACATCGCAGCCCCCGAGGGACGGCGAGGTCTCGCTCAGGCCCCCGCGGTGCCCCAGTCCGCAGGACCCAGCAGCAGCCCTCGAAAGTGGCAACAGTTTCGCAGGTCGCAGCCCCCCAGCGATGGCGAGGTCTCGCTCAAGTCCCCGCGGTGCCTCGCTCCGCTGGACCAAGCAGTAGCCCTCCAAAGTGGCGACAGTGTCGCAGATCGCAGCCCCCCCCCAGGGACGGCGAGGTCTCGCTCAGGTCCCCGCGGTGCCTCACTCCGCTGGACCAAGCAGTAGCCATCGAAAGTGGCGACAGCGTCGCAGATCGCAGCCTCCCCCAGGGACGGCGACGTCTCGGTCAGGCCCCCGCGGCGCCTCACTCCGCAGGACCCACCAGCAGCCCTCGAAAGTGGCGACAGCGTCGCAGATCGCAACCCCCCCAGAGACGGCGAGGTTTAGCTCAGGTCCCCGCGGTGCTTCAGTCCGCAGGACCCACCAGCAGCCCTCGAAAGTGGCGACAGTGTTGCATATCGCAGCCCTCCAGTGACGGCGAGGTCTCGCTCAGGCGGCGAGGTCTCGCTCAGGTCCCCGCGGTGCCTCAGTCCGCTGGACCCACCATCAGCCCTCGAAAGTGGCTGCAGCGTCGCATATGGCAGCCCCCCAGAGACGGCGAGGTCTCGCTCAGGTCCCCGCGGTGCTTCACTCCGCTGGACCCACCAGCAGCCTTCGAAAGTGGCGACGGTGTCGCAGGTCGCAGCCCCCCAGGGGCGGCGAGGTTTCGCTCAGGTCCCCGCGGTGCCTCACTCCGCTGGACCCACCAGCAGCCCTCAAAAGTGACGACAGTGTCGCAGATCGCAGTCCCCCAGGGTGTCGCAGATCTCAGCCCCCCATGGACGGCAAGGTCATGCTCAGGCCCCCGCGGTTCCTCACTCCGCTGGACCCAACATCAGCCCTCGAAAGTGGCGACGGTGTCGCAGGTCGCAGCCCCCCAGCGACGGCGAGGTCTCGCTCAGGCCCCCGCGGTGCCCCAGTCCGCAGGACCCACCAGCAGCCCTCGAAAGTGGCGACAGTTTCGCAGGTCGCAGCCCCCCAGCGACGGCGAGGTCTCGCTCAGGTCCCCGCGGTGCCTCAGTCTGGAGGACCCACCAGCAGCCCTCGAAAGTGGCAACAATGTCGCAGATCGCAGCCCCCCCCAGGGACGGCCTCCCTAGCAGCCCTCGAAAGTGGCGGCAGTTTCGCAGATCGCAGCCCCCCAGGGATGGCGAGG